TACGTCTAGTCCCCCGGTGATGGCAAGGGGAAGGCGGAATTAAATCGTGTAATTCCAACACACACCCTCCGTGGTATATCCTGTAAAATACCGATAAGACGGCAACTTTACGGCGGTGTTCAAGGCTCTGCAGCTTTGCCTCTACTAATTCCGGGTCACCTACAACTCTCTTGCCACTCTTGTCTATTGTATCCAAGGTGGCAGGACTCTATACACGGCCGGACTTGTGCGTGATGCAGTGAAAGCTAAACTCTCCCGGTTCGAAGTAGCGTCTTACCCTGGAAAGGACGCCAAGCTTCCTTGCTGCATGTTTTCGGATGACTGGTCCACCCCAAGTAGCTGGAGATGGTTAGATATATTCCATTTAGGTAACACTAATTCTTGCAGTTGTATAATAATTAGCACTGTAATAGCTAAAACTGTTGTGATGTCTTGAGAATACCTTTATTATGATTACATAATATAATTATGCGCAACAAAACTTTTTTGGATAGTACAAAATTTTTTATGTATATTTTTTTATATAAATATTATCCATTTATTTGGGAAGGCAAAGGTTCACCTGTACAGCCTCTTCATATATTTAAACGAGAGCCAAACAAACCCTACAAAACAAAAAACTAAAGAGTTAGAATAGAAGTGGCCAAGTACCGCTTATATTTTAACCATATTTTTTATGAAGGCTTATGGCCCGATTGCAGGATCTTTAGGCAAATTTAACCAATCAGGAGGCAGTACAGCGATTGAGTAGCGTCATATTTTTAATTAGTAAAAATACGTTCTTTTTTTTAAACTCAACAAACTTTTCAGTTCAGTAGCAAGTGCCATAAACAATAGAATTTTGATTCATATCTAAAAAGACCGCCATGGTGATATTGTTTATGAAATTATAATTGACGGAGTATAAAAATATTTTTACAATATTTTAATATTCTCGCAATGTTGGTGGAACAGTGATTACTCTACAGACGCTTGATAAGCGCTAAGTTTCGTTTATTGGCTGAACCAGTGTAGAAAATTATACACAATTGGATCTGCTTGGATTATTGGGTTGTTTCTTCTGATTTTCAATCAAGCGGCCTTTTAGCAAGTTTGGCGAATACATTTTTTTTATAGCCCCGCACTAAAGAGACCCTGTGTCGCGGGTGCCATGGACACACACATAGACAACTACAAATTACGCCCAAACTCACGAGAGAAATAAATATAGGCTTTACAAATATTTCTGCCGGCTCGGGAGTCGAACGTCGAACCCAAGACCTTTGCGTGGCAGTCCAGCATGATAACCATTCGGCCCCAGAGGCAGTTAAATCAATTTAAATGAAATTAATTGAATCAATCACAATATGATTAAATTCATTACTTAAAATTGCAAAACAATACTGCAACCATTGTACATGTTATTGCAACTCTTGTGTTTAATATAGTGATGAAAGAGACTCAGTCTTTTAAGGCGTTTTACAACGACTCGACTCCATTTTAAAGGACTCGACTCTAAAATTAAGATTGGGGTTTCGAGTTCTTATTAATAACACTCAGTCGTTATACTAAAAGACTGGAAAGACTTAAATGGCTTGAACGACGTAAACGACTCGACTTGTTTGCAAAGGAGTTACACCTATGTTATGTCTTATTAAACCCGAAGTTTATAAATAAAAATGACGTAAGTACTATGTAGTAAATAATCACGTTTATTTACTTATATAATAAAATAAAATCACGCCATACGGCTCATGACTCGTGACTCCCGAAACTGTGAGTCGTTTTAGTCGTTTTAGACTTTTTAGTCGTTTTAGTCTTATGAGTCTTTTAAGCTTCCTAGGGTTAAAAGACTAGACTAGTCGTGAGGCGTTAAAAATTAGTCGAGGTTTTTTAAAAGGCCTTAAAAGACTGAGTCTCTTTTATCACTAGTTTAATAGGCTCAGGTGGAAACTAGTTACATTATCACGTTTTAGTAACTTTTTTTTCAATGTTTTTATCATAGTAGGTACAATGAAGTGCCTATCTAGTATGAGACCAGGTAATTGATGTTATTGTCTTGTACATTATTATTTACATAATTCATTATTGTGTGCATTGGAGCAGATCGCTGGACCAGCATAACGTTCCTCTGGCGATGAACTAAGGTTAGTTACTATTACTACTTACAAAGTAAGTAATATTGAACGAGAGAAATAGGACTCCTTTTAGGGTAAAGAGAGGTTTGAGTATCCTTGATCTTGTGAAGATGTTCTGAAGTACCATATAATGGAGATCTGCAGCGTAAATTCGTGACGCTTAGCAGTTATACCTCTCGGTGACGATGAAGCAATGCATCTTGATGAAGGTTTATAACTCTTGGAAAAATCTCCAACCCGCATTGCACTAGCATGGAGGAATATGCCCTAAACGATATCCTTAGTGGAGTGGTGGCCACCATAGCCAGTGGGACGCATAATAAGTAATATTATTTTACTTCACTGAAAGATATAATGTGATTGAAATAAGCAAAACATTGTTTAAAGTAATTATATAGGTACCTTGTTTCTTTGTAAAATGTTCTGAAGTTATCAAAGACACTAATTGCACTAACAATTTTATTCAATTAATTTAATCATTCTGTGATTGATTCCATTAAACTAAAGTTTTTAAGTACGTTTTTGTTCAGTTTTTTGTTTCATGCAAATACAGATGTATTAAGTTCATGATAAAATAGACTCCTAACTATATGGATTACTTATAACTTTTAACTTTACTATAAAACGTAGGTTCGGTACAATGTTATGCAACCTTTAACCAGATGTATCAAACAATATTCCAAAACGAAAACAAACCATGTAAACCCGGGTGTATCGATTCACCCGGGCCACGGGGCGTGACCGATCGATGCCACCGTCACGCCTAGTGCCCTCCCCACCCGGGTACAACCGGGTACCCGGTCGAAAGTGTTCCTTGTAAGATGATATTTCGCGTTTTTGCAATGGCTCTTGGTTTAGATGTTAGTTTGGTTCAGATGTCTTCTGTTTTTTGTATATTCTTTACTCGTAGTTTGATATTAATTAAAAATAACAATATCCAAACGTTCTTTGTCTAAAAAGAAAAGATATAACAAGCGGTCTTATTACTAGATAGACACCAACTGATGCATCTCTTTATTTTCTTTATAAATAAGTAAAATAAATAAATATAATTTATTTTCAGACACCATAGTCCATACAAATTACAACTTAGTAACATAACACACCTTATACTTATGTTAGTGTTAGGATTAGTACGGTACAGTCGCTCTACAGGCTCACAAATTACATATTATTATAAGTACATCAAACAGGATGAGTCCAACCCCGCCGGCGGCTCACTGGCTCACATATAAAACATGTAGTTACATGTGAACCTCCGGACCACTGCTGTACCATCCTGTCCGTTATTATCTTCAGGATCTCGTTGCTGCTGGACATTTTACGAATGCTGGCATAGAAATCGTTTACAGCATCTGCAGACATTCCAAATGCACTGCAGAAGCGGGGGAGTCTCATCAAGGCCCTGAAGGTGTTATTATATTGGACTTGCAGGGTACTGTACGATCCCAGTGTAAAGTTGGGCCATAGAGCCACATCTGGAGAAGCTCTGGCAGTATGCTCTGAAGAGCGTTAGCTTTTATCCAATAAGTGATCATTAAAGAAGACCGCTTTAAGATTTCTGCCTCTAAGAGTCGTATTCCAGAACTCTATTCAATACTCAAGTCAGGACTTGAGTATTGCAGTGAGCACTGAAAATCATACTCAAATCCTTGCCATTAGGGTCGTATTTCCAGTGCTTGAAATCATACTCAAGTCTGCTCAAATCCTGACTTGAGCATTGAGTAGAGTTCTGGAATACGACCCTAAATCTTTTACTCGTGTTTCTTTTATATTATAATGATATTTTTTATTGAATACCAACTACGTATATTTTGTTATTATGAAGCCCATCACTACGTTTTCTCTTTTCAAAAAAAATCGTATTATAAAATTGTTAGTGATTTTTATTTCATATTTATACTAGACAAATTAGATAATTCGGAATGCTCTCTCGATCTAGAATATTCCACAAGTAAATCAAATGTACTTAAAACATTTTTGAATAGGTAATCTTGATGTAAAAATGGAGAAAAGAAACAGAAAATGCAAATAAAAAAAACATTCCTTATTTTGGCAACTCGAACCAAACTTATGTAACAATTACTTACTTATTAAATTTGCAAAACCAGAACTAAATACAGAATTATTTTAATAAAAAGACGTCATGGTTGTCTTAATAATACTTGACAGAGTATTTTAGCATTAGCAAAGAACGCTAAAGAAGAGAAGCAGTCCTTTTTTTATGATATCATATCGACCTCTCCAACGTAAAGTATCGTATGTCGAAATTACTCACGTCACACAATGTCAAATTACTATAATATCCTAGATATCGGTTAGATGATCTATTAGATTATCACTCTATGTGAGTAACGAACATTGCCGAATAAAATGGATAACTTTAAAATGATCCCCTGTAAACTTGGCAATTTCGACATACGATACTTTACGTAGGAGGAGGCGATATCAATTACACTCAGAGCTTTAAGTCGCAAAGACCTAAGGACATCTGCTTACGCCCGTTAGCCTGGGACATAAAGTTGACAAGACTCTTCGAAACCGAAACGCAGTAATGCTCACATTACAGTACTTCCCAGGACAAACTTCTTCTTTCATGTATGGAAGTCTATTAAGTTTACATTTTCTCTCTTCGGCCAAGAAATACATTTGTTTATTATATACAAAAATAAATGTATACAATGTGTGCATCGACATCGACTTATAAAGTTGTGACATGCCATAGATGGCATTGCCCTTTATACACTGGGTCGTTCCTATTATCTATACGTTAGGAGAGAAAAAGTCTAAAAGAAACTGGACAGTATGGACTGTTATTAAGAGTGTAATATTTTTTCCGATTATTGCAAGAAATTTACATAACCTTTAGAGGATATCATAGTCATGATAGAGAGCGATGGTAACTCAGTAAGAAAATGGTTAATTTTCAATTTGAGAGTCGACGATTCGAATCCCAGCGGCTGCAAGTACCAATAACTCGTGCCCAACAATGTCACGTTTACTATGAATAATTTTGTCATTACCTATTTCTGCCACCAAGCAGTAATGTGATCATTACCATCCTCCGGTTTGGAAGGGTAAGGGTTCTGGTGAAATTACAGGCACCAGGGACTTGCGCAGTGGCAGTGCCTCCAAGATCTTTTCGATTTAAAGCTTACCATCAGGCTCACAACTTGTCCGTTCCATCACTTGGTATTTTATTGGTATATTATCTAACCTTCAATATCTTTATTCCCAGGTCACGGCGGTGTGAACCAATTAGGCGGTGTATTTGTGAACGGAAGACCTTTACCTGACGTGGTGAGACAACGGATAGTCGAGCTGGCGCACTCAGGAGTGAGACCTTGTGACATCAGCCGGCAGCTCAGGGTATCACACGGATGCGTCTCCAAGATACTATCTAGGTAAGCGAACAGATGGCAAACGCCAGGTCGTAATGACTCTCATCCCTTGGTGTATGGACCGGGCACTGGTGTAGGATGCCACATGTGCCGACACACTTGCCTCTATACCATCTCCAGCACACCAGCAAGAGGGCTGGCTCTGCAACTGAGCTGGCAGAAAGAATAAAAAGGCTCCGACTACTTATTTACTGCCTTTAGAGACGAAACCCTTTTCAAAATCTTTTCCAATCAATTGTATCTAAAAAATTAATAGACTGTCTGGGAAACCCAAGAGACCCAACACGTGGTGAAGTAATTCAAAGGCAAACTAGAGCAAAAATTATGAATCTATTGTACCAACGTCGTTGCCATAAAGAAATTTATAAGAATAAGTGCTTCAACATGTGTATAATTATTTTCAATAAATTACCAAATTAAATACAGTTAATATCATCATTCTAGCCAGTGCTGGTAGCTGTAAAGTTATCTAACTAGGTGACGAAATACTTTCATAGATTTCTCGTGGATGGCGCTACGGCTAAAAAGTCGTTGAAAAACCAAATACAAAAATCCGACAACATGCACATAGAAAAGTCTATTAATGAAGGCACTGGCACCCCACGGGCCAAGTTACGTTGTACGTTAAAGAAATATATCTAGCCATTATAATTTTACTTTGGAAAGTAAGTTATTTCTATTGAAACTCGCATAAATTTCTTTTCCCTCGTTAACAGCCGAAAATGCTTGTTGTTATGAAATTTCAAAACACTGTATTAAGCCTTGCAGTGTTTTGGTTTGAAACGAGAGAGAGTCGTTTTTTATTGTTCAAATTTGAGCCGCGACAAATGTTAATAGACATTTGCGCTATCTGAGACATTTGCACTATCTGAGAATTTTCGCTTTCTTAAAGTTTTCGCGCGCGTAATTGTCAAACTAAAAAACTGTGTTGCTGCGTACCGTGTTATATCATAATAATTTCTAGAGTTTAAAGTGTATTTTCATTTTTAATATCTTACTCAAAAACACTAATACCTCCAAAGTTGAAATGTCACGGTGTTAGGTCTAGAGAAAGCATATGAGCGCTGTTAAATCAAAACTTTGTAAGTGACTTTACAGTGTATGATTGGGTCTACATGGCAGAGCCATGTGAAGTGCCGCCATTAGGTCCCATATTTGTATTTGTAACTCCATTCAAAGCTTATATGTGTGCACAACTGTTGCTCGCCATGTATACGAACGCATCGCGCAGTGCACTCGCATCGCATAGCAAGGGTCGTCACACCCGCCATTTATTATAAAATAATAATGTCCCAGACAGCCACATCACTGACCTGGTCTCTAACTAAGGATTCCCTGTACTATGAGTACCAAAGCAACAGAATTCTGGGGCACTTCTCAGAACACCAATTCAGAACATGCATTTCCCAATTTTTGGTATCGGGATTTGATTTTTAATTCGGGACTTAATCACGTATAAAACATATTTGAATTACCTCAACGTTTCGGACATGTTGCAACGTCCATGGTCTCGAAAGGACTGAAGAGGCCGGTGTCCGCATTTTCCAGCCGTGCGAGTTTTTCTAACTACCCGCACTTGATCTTCATTATTTATTTGTGCACTAGGGTTCTTACTAGACCGACACACAACCCTCACGACATCCGGCGACTTGTCGGGCGACACTTGATGTAGTTTACATTTGCTGATAACTGGATCCCATGACGATGAAAGCTTAAAACCGTCTTCTCGGTTGAAATTACGGTGTTTTTTAATTTCAATAACTTCACGTATATGATTCTACTATAGTCATGACCTTCTGTAGAAAGGATCTTGGGATTATGAAGCTGAATCCAGTGGTTCGGTCCTGATTCCAGCAAATGCTCTTCTTGCTGCTGGAATGCTTGCTACCTGAATTCCAGACCCCGGCCGACCAGTCATACTTACTTTAAAAAATAGGTGTACAAGGACGGTAGCAGAACGTAGTAAAAACAGTAATTTAAGTTTTTTTTAACAAAGCTTGCATTGTTCTTTGCTTCCGTTAAACTTAAACTGCTTAGGAATGGCGTCTTTTATAAACCAATGTTTTACATCCGCAATCTAAAAGTATACAAATAATAATGGTAACAAATTACTTTGTGTCAAAGGAGGAAAGTCCCTGTACCATGACTACCAGAATAACGAAATTCACTCTCGGGCATTACCTGGGACACCCAAAACCACTTTGTTGAGTGATGATGAGTTTATTTACTTGTAATTGACGAGGTGATATGAATTAATACAGATTTTTTGTATTTTTTTTAACATCAAGTGGCGGCACGAACAAGTCAGTAAAATATTGAAAATTGATGTCAAAATAATTTAAGATCAAAAGCGAAAATTTTAAGGTAGCAGTAGAGCTCCTTGTGAAAGAGTTCGTCCAGGGTCGTACTGCCATCTTATTTATTTCTGCCGCCAAGCAGTAATGTCATTTTTCAATTGGCATTACTGTGTTCCGGTTTAGAAGGATGCTGGTGAAAGTACAGACACATGGGACTTGTCAACTTAAATGTCTCAGGTTGATGGGCGCAGTGGCAGTGTCCATCAGAACTTTGCGATTTAAAGCTCTGAGTGGCACTGCGGCTGTTATCAGGCGACGACTTGTTCGTCCCGTCTTTCGATATAGTAGAAAAAAAATCGATTTGCAGTGCCCTATTCAGGGTCATGTACAACACTCTAGTCGTAATGTAACCCATTTGCAACACCTGACTATGTATTATGTTTCCGAGCTTACACAACCCGAGTATCTTCTACGATAGTAATAATAATAATATGTTTATTTCTCCACAAAAACACGGTCAGAAGGTTCTTAGTAATTTAAGAAACATTAACAGCTTTTTGTTGGTAAAGGCTTAAAACCTGTACTACAAGTCACTAGGTCCTCACCCTTGGGAAGAATACATAATATATTATGACATTACTAAGAACATATTAAAGATTGTAAGAGAGAAACAAAATATGAAATATATGTAATTAAAGATAATTTTTACACTTATACCCTTTTGATCTTTAGATAGATGAATTTAATTATAAATTGTACTTTTAAACTGAAAGTAAAATTTAAATTTAAAATGAGTGTGTGTGGATGTGTGTGTATGTGTGTGTGCGCGTCTATATGCTCGTGAGAGTCACACTATTGGATGAAGTATAGCTTCAGTATCCCCATAATTTAACTTTTGCAACCAGTTTGCTAACTTTTTTTTACATTCTTTGTTTAAACCATACCGGGACTGAATAGGCATCTTCTGTGCGAGCTCATTCCATCGTAGATCTTATCGCTCCAGGGTCAGGTAAAGGTCAACAGCAAGTCCATTTACATGAAAAAATGAAACCGTTGAAAGATCCGGGTTCAACTGTCATTGTAATCCAGTCGCACCTTGAAGATACTTGTGTTGTGTATGATTCGAGACACAGTCGTAGGCAGATAATTCCATTACTGGGCTTGTGCGCATGCTTAATACTATGAATAATCAAAAATAGATACCCTTTGGGTAAAAAGAAGGTTTTGATACAATTGTTACGCTTGGCATAATACATAATGGAGTAGCGATCTCAGTTAGGGCCATTATCTCTCCGCTCTGGAGATGGGATGGGTTTCAACAACCAATATTTAACATAATCCAAAAAAAATAAACGTTTATAGATGTGAGAATATACATTTATAAATATACTACGAAAACCCGTGGTAGCTTAATTGTTTGTCATGCAGAGGGCCGTGAGTTCGAATCCCAGCTTGCACCGCTGATTTTTCGGAAGTTATGTGCGCTTTTTTTAAATTTACACCTCTGTTCCATTACGTTAGAGACTATCTTTGACCTATTAAGTACTATTATTATTAATATTAGACAACATCGCATAGGTTCGTTGCTAGGATCCCAAAGTAAGTAACTAAAGCATTTGTGCTATGAAAATGGTAAATAACGACGGTACCACAAACACCCAGATCCGAGACAATGTAGAATAGTAAATTTTTTATGCGACGACACCATGAAAAGTGGTGTGCAAGCCAGTCGACCATGGAGGTTATCAATTTGAAATTAACCATTAGCTTTTCGCTGAAGTGGCAGTGGGCTGGCCATATCTGTCGACGAACTGATAACCTATAGGAAACAGCGAGTGCTTGAGTGGAAACCATATCTCAGTAAACGCAGTATAGGATCCTCTAGCCAGATGGAGAGACGATCTTGCGAAAGACTGCTGACAGCAAGTGGATGCGACAAGCTAAGAACCAGGCGCAATGGCGCTCTTTGGGAGAGGCCTATGTCAGTGTACTGCGATAGTAGCCTGTTGCTTCTAAATTGAGAGGTCCACGGTTCGAATACCTGTGGCTACATGTACCTTCTAAGTGACGTACATGTTTAATTGTTTACTTCTAGCAACACCCCTCGTTATCAGTCAAAGAAAACATTGTTCCACAACCCTTAGAAAAAATATGAAGAGACGTCTTTGCGGATCATGACGAAACCTTCTCTATTCTGAAGATCCGTGCCCAGCTGTGAAACGTATAATAGGTAGATATAGATGATGATGAAATTGCAATTTTAACCCTCAAATGACTAAATCGTGTTATTAAAACCCATAATAGTAAAGTTATTTATCAAAAACTTACAAGTAACAAGTCAGCAGCCGGCACATCATACATATTGCACCACATTCGCTCACACTGACAACAAACACTTCCATACATACAGTTGTATGAGTGCTCCCGTTCCATACGCTGCACAAGACGGCGGCGCGTGCGCTCGTGTCTATTTAGTATAGAACAACCAGGCTACAAAAAGCTCTGACAAATAATGTAGCACAACACATGGTCATATTAACTGGAACACAAGACTTCCAATATATAAAACATGCAGAGGAAAACTGCATGGTTAAGAAAAATAAATGCCTGTGGTTTGGCATATTTGGCTTGTATTGTATGGTATACCTTTGTGTGCGCATGCTCTACTGGCACAACTTTTGCATGTATACTCATTCTAAGTATTTT